AACCACAACTCCCATCAGCCCCTGCAAGTGTGGCCAATGACCAGGGATGGTGGGAGTCGTAGTTCAGCAATGTCTGAATAGCCAAAGGTTCCCCATGGCTGAGGTAATGGCTCAGTATTACAGCTCTGATGCTGCTGTGTTTTATATTCACCAAGCAAACAAATCATTGGAGGACTATTTGATCTAAATGCTTCCATTTGAAACAGGTAATAGTTGGAGATTTTCACAACCGGGATGTCCATCACGGGGAAGATGGGGAAAGAGAGGGAAAGCAAGGGTGAGTGCGAGGTTAGAAAAAAGCACTGGAAAACACAGAAGGAGGGCACAGATTCTGGAAGGTCAGAACTTTATTCCCGGAAAATCCCACAAGTAAAACAGCTGCCGCTAGGGGGCACCAAGGACACAGCAGGGAGGAGGAAATACACAGCTGAGCAAAATCACTCTGAAAAGCCTGGGGTGAAAAGCTTATCACCCCACCAGCCCTCCCACCCACCATGCAGGCACAATACACACACACACACCAGAATTTGGTGCCATGCTGGAAACTCTGTTGCTGCCAGGAGTCAAGAAGATCCTAACTCACAAGGGCCTGTCTGGGTGGCATCTTGTGCTGCTAAAAGCAAAGATCTTTCACCTGCCCTTTGGCCAAATTATATTGGAGGGTACTAGATCTCATGCTCCATTATCCAAGACTTCCTGCCCCGATATCCAAGACTTTCCGGTGGGGGGGGGGTCACAAGGGTCTGAATTGAATCAACTGACAGAGGATGTAATGAGATCCTGGAACACCGTGGCTAGAGAATGGTCAAGAAACTGGTGGTTGATTGATGATGATGCCCAATTTCCCACTTGCTCTCCTGCTGGCAGGGAACTTATTGCTAATAGGCAGTATTAAAAATCTGTAAATAAAATGTGAAGCCAATGGACTTTGACTGTGATGGCGTTTCATTTACTTATTTTGTCACTTTATTGTCTATTTAATGGGTTTACGTATCCCATTAGACTGTGCTGTTGAGCATGCTGAATTGTGTGGGTTCTTTAAATAAAACCCACCTGAAGTTGAAAAGAAAAAAAGAGGTGTAGCACCACCATATTACGAAGCAACCCAGGTGTGTGCAGAGGCTATAGTGCAGTTAAGGAGTTCTAACACACACAACTTTCACTTATACTGTTTCCTTGCACACTCTTCTGCCTTCCCTTCCTCTCCCAGGGCACAAGCACCAAACAGGACTGCCAGGTTCAGAAAGGTTTGCCAGCTGGCAAGACAGGGCGTGCGCAAATGGATCAAAACAGACTGCATGCAGCACTGTAAACAGTACAAAAGGAGTCCGTCTCCCTTGAAGCGCAGAGAGTTAGCCTACAGCTACAACAACCCTCAGATGTGAATGTCAGTATTACAGCCCAGCAAGGTGTATGAAATGTGTAAGCCAACATCTCCATCTGTGCAAGGCTTCATATCGTTTTAAGAATGTAAGAACCACCAAAGGCCCATCTAGTCCAGCATCCAGTTCTCACAGCAGCCAACCAGATGCCCTGACAGGAAGCCCAAAAGCCAAAGGCTCTCATTTAAATTCACACTAAAGATTCTGATTTAAAGTCACGCTAGTGTGCAAAGGGCATCATGTCCTTTCTCCTCCAGCCTTAGAAAGATGGCATTTACGCTCTAGCGATTCACTGACGAGGGGAAATTATTATTTTTTGCTCATCAGGACTCTCTTCTTCAGCCAACACAGGAAGGAAGCCTCTGGCAACAGGTAGGAAATTCAGGTTCTGGAGCCACACACACAATTTCCTGATCAAATGAAACATTGTTCTATCCCAGATGAGGCAGTTGTGATTTTGCAAAGGGATCTCCAGCTGAAGGGCATCTTGATGATGCAACCCTGCCTTTATACTAGGTGCAAAGCTTTGGAACTAGATTGATGGAAGTGAGGGGGCAGATCCTGATGCTCACTGGGATGGGGGGAGCACGTGCCAGCTCTCAAGGGATGAGAGCAAGAGAAAAGACCCTTCATTCAAGGAGGCTAGAAGCGAGCAAGTGGCAACCCCAAGTGACCCGGCAACCAAGCAGCCAGCTCATGTTGCATAATGTTCACACCCATTAAGCCCAAGCAAACACAACCAGCCTGTGTGATGAAAAGAAGCAGAAATAACAGGAGGGCTTGTAGGGCATGATTAATTAAAAAGACACCCAGCAGCCTCCATAAAAGGGCAACATGCTCCTACGTCCCTTGGGCAGCCCCCACCCCACCAGCTTCTGCAGGGGAGACTCGGCAGGTTTTAATACCAAACCGCTATACTTATTCCATTAAAGTCAGCAGGAATTAATCAGACTTGCAGGCAGGCAGAGAGAGCATTGAAAAAATCCTGGGGTGGACTGCTTGTTTATTTTTAGTGCCAGATGTAGGCAAAACGTGGTTTTATGGTCTCTAAAGAGGATTAAAAATCCCTTTAATCTGTGTTATGACATTGCTCTTCTTCAAAGTGGAATGAAACTGGGGCTTCCTGAAGTCAAGAGTGTCAGAAAGGAGCTAGCAAATGCATCCATCCTTGCAAACAGACAGAGGGGACACAAGTCTGGCCAAGTTGACAAAGTACTGAATTTGGATCTAATGGACGTGGATTTAACGAACACATAGCTGAGGGGGCCTGGGCTAGGGAAAAAAGAGGAAGAATAATGTGACATTCTAAAGGAATCTGTGTGCATGTGTTGGTGGGGGGGGAGAGAGAGAAGCAGAATCATCTTTGGTAGAAAGTGATTCAGGGCAAGGTAACAGCACAATGACAGGCTGACAGCAAAAAGGTTCAGGAAGGGTGGGAAGAAAGAGTTTAATAACTTTGTTTACATATAATTAATTGAGAACCACTTCTATAGCAAGAGGTCGCCAATATGGTGCCCTCTAGATGCTGTTGGACTACAATTCCCATCAGCAGGACCAAAGGTCAGGAGTTATGGGAACTGTAGTCCAAAGTATATGGAGGGCACCACACTGGTCACACCTGCTTTACAGTCTTGGAAGCTGTGCCTAAGATGTTGACCCATTGTTTATGTTACTATTTTCATACCTGCAGAAGCATTCCTAGAAGCCCTGGAAATGGCCCTGATGTATCTCAAATGTTTATTATCTCCATACAGCAGTCCCAAAATATAATACCACCACCTTCCTTTCATTACTCAAGCATGTTGCTTAGGAAAACTGTTCTATTCATTCCAAAGGAAGCTTCTTCCAGTATTACTCCTAGGGCAGCCTTCCCAAACCTGGCACCTTTTGGACTACAATTGCCATGAACCCTGGCCATTTGCCATGTTGGCTGGGGCTGATGGGAGCTGTAGTCCAAAAAAAATAATCTGTAGGGTATCAGGCTGGGGAAGACTGTCCTGGGGAAAGCTGCTTCCCCCTGCCCTCCTACCCCCCACTTACTGCAGCCTTGAATATCTGTTTTTTAAGATTTTACAGTTCCTCTATAAATAAACCTGCTGCAAATTTACCTCCTGAAACTATATCAAGACAAACGTTCTCCTGTAGAAACCCTCAAGTGGCTGGAAATTGTGAGGGAGCAGTAAGACTGAGGGAGGAGTTGCATAGTTGCACAACCTCTGACCCCTCAAACCAAAACACAGGAAGCTGTCTTATACCAAAGTTGGACCACTGGTCCATTTGACCCAACACTGTCTACGCCGAATGGGAGCAGCTGTCCAGGGTTTCAGACCAGGGGCACATTCGCAGCCCTATCAGAAGACACCAAGGATTGAACCTTGGGTGTATGCTGGCTGCTTTGCCATAATAAACATTGACTGATTGGACCTGGGACCTTCTGCATGCAAAATGGGTACCCTAACCAGTGAGCTACGGCCCTTTCCAACTAGTAACTGCAGAGACGAGGAAAGAGAATAGAATACAGGGACAACCTGTCCACTTTTACATCCACATTACTTTTCCCCATTTCCCCCTGCACACTTGCCTGCCATTCACAACCCCTATAAGGCTCTCTGGGGATTCAGGCAGGGGTCTCTCCCAGCCCCTCCTGATGGGATATGTTCTACCACCGAGCCACAGCCCTCGCCCAAGTCTCCAGCCACACAGAGGGGCTTGTCAGGTGCTGCCCTGCTCTTTCAATTAAACAGGCTGACAACGTGCCTTACCAAGTCCCTGGCTGGTCGTGAGGCAGACACGGCTGGTAGTCATTGCTTGACCTGTGGCGGAGGGTGAGACGCGACACAGCATCCCTGGGCCTTCACCAACAGCTTGCACACTACCGAAAAGGAAGCGCGAGTTGCGCAAGGCAGCTTCCCACCCCGCAAACCTGAAGCCTGATAAGGTCACCACCGGTGGGCACCGTCTTGAAGACTGTGTCACAGAAAACCAACACCTCCCAAGTTCATTTAGTAGCCTGGAAAGCCCTCTTCATTCCATCTCGGTCAAATGTAACATTAGTATCGCCGTCACTCAACACAGCGGCAAGACCTTTGCGCCACCCAAAGACTGTGTGTTTGTGTCGAAGGTATTAACAGTTAAAATAAAGAGATTCTGGATGGAAGGTCTGGTCAAGATATAACGGGCCCTGTGGATTTCTGGTTTTAAAATGCTGAAGTACTGCTTCTGAACTCCTTTGGGCCCAAGCTCACAGCTGTGTGGAAAAGCTGCTTGCTCTGCTGATTCATGCTGACCTATCCAAATTCTTAGAGGAGACGGTCAGGCATGCAAGGCACCTCTCTCCGGCTGCAGAACCTTAAGGAGCCTTGCATAACCAGCCCCTGCAGCACCCACATTAAGGATTAGAATCTAGTGATATGTTTAGTTTTCTGGCGTAGGAGCCAAGATTTAGCTCAGTGCTCCTGTTACGACATCGCACCTCCACTAAGGACGGTGCAATTCTCAAGGAACAGTGCAACGCTTCCTCAGACCCCAGTTTCCCCTGCAACTTCTTCTGCCACTGGGGTGTTCTGCAGGAGAGGAGGGGCCTACAGAAAGATCCTCCCCACCAAGCACGGACTCTACCTGACTGGTTGTTCCTCATGCGGATGGCTTTGGACTTGGCCAGCTCCAAAGCAGTGACCCATCGCTGCCGCTCCACTTCTGAGTGAGCCTTCAGGTGGTATGTCCTTCCCCCATTGGAAAGCACAATGTTACAAGAGTCCTCCGTGTCAATGTGAGCCGTTGACAAGTTGATGGTTCCCCGACAGGTGTGAGCCATTTCAGCTTGAGTCCTGCAAAAAGGAACAAGGGAAGAAGCATAAGCAAGTGCCTTGGGTTTCACCTTCTGATCAAGGCTAGCACGGGGGGTGGGGGACCTCCCCAGCCAGGACTTCCCTAGGCACTGAAAGCAGGATTCCCACATGACTGCATCAAGTAAAACTTCCTTCAGGCAGCAGGTCCTGGTTTGAACTGTGCCAAGAAACACTGAACACCAGAGCTTTCCAAACTGTGTGTTGCAACACATTAGTAAGTCAGCTGCAGTCTGTAAGTGTGTCGCGTGAATGCTCCTCTTGGGGCTGCAAAGGGGTTAGTTTAACCTCTGGTTTGCTAGTAAAACTGAATTACTGTGTCACGAAATGATGCATGTCTACAAAGTGTGTTGCTAATATGAAAAGTTTGGAAAGCTCTGCTGTACTTCACTGTGGAATCCTGGATCTACTAGTACTGTACATCTCTGGGTAATCTGCCATAGATCAGCAAAGGCTTCCTGATGCCTCGTTTGTTTTGCATATATACTGAAACCAAAACTGGTAACACAGAAATAAAAACCTAGATTTCAGTACAGTGGTACCTCGGTTTACGAACAGTCCTGTTTGCGAACTATTCGGTTTATGAACACCACAAAACCAGAAGTAGTGTTCTGGTTTGCAAACTTTACCGCGGTCTACTACCGGAAGCCGAATGGTGGAAGGGCACAGGCAGCGGGAGGCCTCATTAGGGAAAGTGCACCTCGGTTTAAGAATGGATTTGGTTTAAGAACGGACTTCAGGAACAGATTAAGTTCATAAACTGAGGTACCACTGTATAAACTTAACTCAAAGCAAGCGGCACCTTAAAATCAGCCTTCACCAACCTAGTGCCTTCCAGATGTTCTGGACGACAACCCCTATCAGCCCCAGGCAGCAGGCAGCTTTGCACTAGAGTTGTAGTCCAAACATCTGGAGCACACCAAGTTGGTGAAGGCTGCTGTGCATCTGCTAGGGAGTCACCTGTGTATGACAAATTGGATGAAACTGAGTGTTTTAGTCTTGACAGACGAAACTACAGTAGTGGGTGTGCCTTAAGTAATGCCAACTGACAATGTTATCTATCAAAAGAGACACATTCTCCCTCAAGCAAGCAAGAAGTCTAAGCTTGTGAAAATGTTTCAATTGTCCTGCGTACCTGTTGTCCTGTTGCAAAGCATATATTTGCCAATAAGTTGTCAAAGAACAAACAGAATTATCCGGAAACTCAGCTCTGTCTGCTACAAGCCCATTCAAAGAGTAGCAGCCTGTTTACTTTGCTGTGGGGTCCCTAAGCCTCAAAAATAGCTGGAAGGTTTGACAGCAGGAAGACTATAATTTCCCAGCAGTAGTCATACTTAAGGCAGCAGAAACAAAAACAAAAAACCACAGAGTTGTGCTCTGGAAATCCCTGGGCGTGTGAAAACGGTGAGACTGTGAGGAAAGTGGTCTTTTTCTCCGCATAAACTAGCATTGCTGCATATTATTCTAATCCTGCTGTATGAAGAGTCTAAAGTGTTCTGGGCACCGCACAGATATTAAAAACAAGTCAGCCCCTGCCACAGTTTCAAAATCTAATTATTAGATTTATACCTAAGAACATAAGTGCAGCCTTGCTGGGTCAGGACAAAGGCCCACCTAGTCCAGCATCCTGTTCTCACAGTGGTCATCCAAATGCCCGTGGGAAGTCTGGAAGTGTAACAACACTCTCCCCCTACCCTACCCCACCCCACCCCAATTCCCAGCAGCTGGCATTTGGACCTCCAACAGCAGAGATAGAGCACAGTCATTCTGGCAAGTAACTACTGAGAGCTTTAAACTCCATGAATCCTTTTTAAACCCATCAAAGTTGGTGGCTGTCATTACGTCCTGTCAGGTGGTGAGGTGGTTTCTCACGAGTAACCAGGCAGGACTCCCACCTGTCTTTAACAGGTTTTATTTGTGCAAACTATTTACAGAACCAGTGCAGAACCAGAAAGTTCATGTCCGTCTCAGTCACTTGCAGATTCCGGGAGTGGCCTCTTCTGGTCCCCCCCCCAAGCATAAGAACTTAGACACCCCAAATCTTCGCCTCCCCTCCTTATGTTTCACCCCTCTGTGCAAACTGGGCGACGGAAACGGCGTGCCTGTTTCCTGGCTGGCCAGAGTGGTGAGGCGCTTGGGCTCTCAGTAGCATCTTCGAGCCCTCTCCTCGCTCGGCTTTCCCCTTCCTCCTCTGCTCCACTAGAGGTGTGGTTTTCCCCACTGTTGGATGAGGAGCTGCTCCTCAGAAGCATGGGAGGCTCTCTGTATTCCTCTGCCTCCCACCCCTGTTCCGATAGCAGTCCCCTGACACTTCCTGTGGAAGCAAATTCCATAGTTCCCTAAGCTTTCCTCATAGGGGAGTTGTGCCACCCCCTTGAACATTTTGGCTGCCCTTTTCTGAGTACACTCTGAAAAAGATATTAAGAAGGAAGACAAAAACAAGCCTATTTCCTATGTTTGGGTGGCTTCCGGATTGTCACTATTTTACAGGGATGATTCAACTGTATTCTGGCGCACTTGGAACATTTATGCAACCCGCTTCCATCTCACTCTCTACTGTCTACCCTGACTGGCAGCGACTCTCCAGGGTTTCAAGACAGCACATTCCCATCGCTGCATGGACTTGCCATTGCGAACTGAATTTGGGACTTTCTGAATGGAAGGAAGTTGCTCTACCAACTCAGCTAAGCAGAGCCCAAGCCATGCCGTGTGCAATTTCCTGCCTCTGTAGGGCTGCTTAAGGTCTTCCTGGTTATTTTCACTAAAGGCATCACGGTTTTGCTGCAACCGAAGCAAATGCAAAATTATCAGAAATGAAGATGTAAAATCCCAACAGCTAACATGCTGCTAAATTTAAGTGCAGGTTGCACAGTCCAAGGTGCCCATCCAGATGGTTAAGCGAATCCAACCCACCCACCAGCTTCCGCTTGGCATCTGAAGCCTTATTCATGGAAACCATATGCAAATTTAAACCTGCAAGGAAGATATGCAGAAAACTGCAATTATTTCATAATACGGCTGCTACAGTCGTACCTTGGATCTCAAACGCCTTGGCTCCCGAACAAATCGGCTCCCAAACAATCAAAACCCAGGAGTGATTGTTCCGGTTTTCAAACGATTTTTGGAAGCCGAATGTCTGGCACAGCTTCTGATTGGCTGCAGGACACTCCTGTAGCCAATCGGAAGCCACGCCTTGGTTTTTGAACTGTTCCGGGAGTTGAACGGACTCCCAGAACACATTCTGTTCTAGAACCAAGGTACGACTGTACTGGGATCAGCTGCTTTGAACAGTTCAAAGTTCTGGTCCTGACTTACAAACTCTTAGTGTGTTGGGGCCAAAGTACCCATCTCCTTATGTGCCTCTGCTATCCTTTGAGATCCTCAAAGGTCTTTCTCTGGGTTTCCCTGTCCTCCCAGGTGTGGTGCAGGTGCTACTGGAAATAAGGCCTTCCCAACTAGTGGCACCCCAGTTCCAGAATGCTCTCCCCAAGAAGCTCACCTGCTCCAATGCATTTTCCAGCATCCAGTCTGCTTTATTTTACCAGACTTTTAAATGTTTTAGCATGCTGGCCGGTTTAATCTCAATTAAACAGCAACTTGCAGGGGTTTTTTAGCTTATTTTAATGTATTAGCTGTTTTAAGAAGTTTCTAACGTTTTATTTTAAGTTACCCAGATAACTTGTGTTTCAAAGGGGGGGGGGTAACTTGGAACAAACAGAATGAGCACAGCTCACAATGCTGCCAACGTGGATCGCAGTGCTCAGCAAGCTGCACGTGTCTTTCTCAAGACCTTCCTTGGAAATCAGTCATTCGTGAATTACTTCCAGACACATGCACATTCCCAGAGGATAACTTCAACAAACCAAAACGGCTGGACTGCATTCCAGAGTACGTTGACCAGCTCCTTTACTCTCAAAAAGGGATTATTTTTTAAAGGGAGGTTTGTTTCTTTAATGATCACTTTTAAAGATAACACGGAAATCTATTTTCCCTACTTGCACGCAGACACTCCCAGAGTGCTCTCAGCAGACACTTCCCCATCTACTGCTATGCACGGAGCCGTAAAGGTGCCCTTCAGCAGTGAATAGCCCAGTATCTCGACAGATTTCCCTACTCAGTGTTAGCATCTCAACGACTGAATAACAAAAATACATGGGCAAGTTTCCAGTCTCAAATATGAGATAATCCTTAAGAAGCATGCACGGAGGGAGTAGGGGAGAGACAGTCCTGGATTACTATGTAGGGGCACAGACACACACACACACACACACACACACACAAAGATAATGCTAGAACATCAACCTTCGGTCATTTTTGCTGGTATTAACAAACAGAAGGATATTAGAAAGAGGGCACCTAAATAAGGAATTGAGAAAAGAATCCTTCTCCAAAATACACATGGAACACTGTTTTAAACACCTAATGTTTAGCACTTGGTTAAGTAAAAATTGTGCGAAGAACGCCATGCGTTGTTAATTGCCACCTCAAATATAAGCTGAAACCTTATAGGAGTCTAAGTGAGCACGCTTGGTTGTAAAGATTAAATAAGGTCACTTCCCAACCCTGTCTGAGCAAACATTCCAATTTTATTTTGCAGAGAAGTTATACCTTCCTGATTTTTTGTTTTGGCTTCTTATTTTTGGAAACACGTTTGTTGCACAAGAGCACCAAATCCATGTTGTGCAACCTGAATTTGCTGGACTACAGTTTAATCCCACCTGCGAAATGGAATTGGTCTGGAAGTGTGCACTGCTAGGATAATGGAAGCCTATTAGGATGGAGAAAACCAGTGGGACACTTATCTCTTGAGCATAGAAGCACATGCTACAGTACATCAAAGAGGACACAAAGTCAAAAGAAGTAGAAAAATTAAAAGGGACAGAATTGTCCACTGAATCACTGTGAGTGGTAGCACACGATTCCAAGACTCATTTAGTCCTGAGGACATACTGTCTCCAAAAGGTTCAGGGTGATCTTGACAC